GATCGTATAACAGTCCCTCGGGGGATGATCGTATCTGTCGGAGGGAGAGGATCTATAGAACGACCAACCGCTAGGATGGCCGATCTTTTCAGCAGAATACCAATCATTAGAAAGAGAGGTAGAAGAAGGGCGTTTTGTGGAGATTTTGCGGGGGTTTTTGGTCGATGATTTGTTGCGAGGAGAGTTTGAGCCTTTGAGGCACCGGGTTAGGAGGAAGAAGGCGGAATGGTCGAAGAAAGAAGAGAAGTGGGCTGAGGGGAAATGACCTCGTCCACCTCTGGCTCCTCTAACTCGCCAAGGGCAGGTCGACGATGGCGGAGAGAAATGTTGTACATAGTATCCTCGGAGTTGGAAGAAGCAAAGCGGGCTGTGAAAACGCGGGTAGGAACAGTATCACCGGGGCGAAGAATTGAGAGAGGAACAGCCTCGAGCACAGAGGGAAGTATTTGAACGGAATCGGAGGAATTGGTTGAAGAAGGAGAGGGAGGTGCAGGATTAAAAAAAAAAAAAACAAAATCAATTTCAAAGGAAGAAAAACTTAGGGTTCTACGAGGAGGATGATTTCAAAAGATTAAAGGGGGAAAAACAAAAATTTCAGGGGATTTTTGTAGAAGAAAGCAAAATTCACAACGATTAACAGACGAACACAGACATCCAACATACAAATTCAAAGCACTCAATCAGCAAATCTCAGATACCCAATTCGAAAAATTCAAAACGCAAAAATCTCAGATACGAGAAACGTAAAATCAGATGAGGAGCAACTTACTCATAATCGCAGAAGAGAGAACTGGGAAAGCTCAAAGACTGCAGGAGGAATCGCCTAGAGATTTAGGGTTTTTTGCAGAAGAGATTTTGAGCACAGAAGAGTTTAAGATTCGCAAAGGTGGAAAAAATGGGAAAATTCTCTAAGTATAGGTTTTATACTTGGGAAAGTTAAAGGGTGGGAAGATGAAGACCATTGGATTAAAGCCAGATCTAACGGGGGTAAGCATTAACTCACGCGGCACTCAAAGCAGGCGCGTTATGCGAGGAGGCGCTATCATTAAAATGCCTGACAGGGGCGGCAGACGCGACGCGTGGCAGAAAAGTAGGGACGACAGAAAGGACATATGGCATGTGACTTTATTTCGGGCAATTAATGAGAAATTATTTGAAATAGTGGGCGGGAAACTCACTAGGTGGTCGATATCTGACATCATGCCGTCGAGGAAAGCGAGGAACACAAATTCACTCTTAGATCGAGTCATCTAGACTCGACCAGAGTGGGGGGGACTAGATGATATAGGATATTATACCCACAAGGTTAAACCGGTCTGCTGACCAGTCGAGGAGGTCATACCGTGGGAAGTCGAGGTAATCGAGCAGTTAACTAGTCGATCAACCTATCCTTTGACCAGATGGACGGTCGAGTAGCGCAGTCGACCTCGATCGGTCGACCACTTTGCGGACTGGACACCTCATAGATCGGCCTAGTCACAGGCGCGTGAGAGAGCCTATAACCGAATTTCAGGAGAATATTTACCCCATATGCAGGGGGACACGTGTCGAGAATGCAGTGGTTGATAGGGATAACCACCTCTGACAGCCTACCCCATGTGCAGGAGGACACGCGTCCAAAGAATATTGGTGCAGGCGATAGTGGCGACGGCTACCTCTGACACACGCGTATTGTGTGTACGGACGGGCAGTTAGGGCAGACAGCTCACCAAATCTGGACAGCCCTAGGTCAGGTATCTCACCCCTATATAAAGGGGGTGAGCCTTTCTTCTTCAACACGATTTCTCTATTAATCACTTCAGTATACTCAAACACATACTGACTTAAGCATCGGAGGCTCTTCACCGGAGACAACCCCCGGTGTGAGAGTTGTTTGCAGGTTTCCAGCGTTCTACCGGCGAGGACAAGAATCGATCTACCCCAAACTGGACCAGGACGTTCACACTTGCATTAGTCGGTTAATCACCCTCTGATTTAATTGAGCAATCTTTGGAACCGAAATTGGAAAAGTTGTAGTCTTTGGCTTGCACAAGATAGATGATTTCC